CCAACTTACTTCCCACTAACGGTTGCTCCAAGGTGCCCACAAAGGGCCGAGGGTGAAGAGGTTAAGGGAGCTCACAGGTAAACCACAAAGGCTAAGAGAAGGAGAAGACAAACCACCGGAGGCACTAACCCAAGGAGGAACTCACGACACTGGCTTTTTCTCTATCACACGGCTTCCCAACAAATCTTCACACTACACCAAGCATAAAACAGGGCACACATTATAAAGGTAGGTTTGGGCTTTTAGGTTAGAATAAAGACTAAGGCCCAATAGGTAGACAAAGAATGGGCTACAACCGAAAAGCCATCCAAGTTAATGGGCCGGACCATGAGCAACACTAAACACAATTAGATTACTTCAAATGGTCCAAGTAAGTTATAGGATCAGTCGTCTAATTGTGGTGTCAATATTAACTTATCCAACAACGATTTTACATCATCGCCCGAATTTATTGGGTATCAAAAACCCAACAAGAATTAAGGGCTGCCTTTCCCGCCGCCCGCTCCATTAGATTTGGAAGCACTCCTATTGATTCTTACCTGGTGAGTGGTGCTGGAGGGAAGGGAAGCATATTTTATTAGATGACTCTTCAATTTGAGGCAATCTTTTGACAATTCTCAACACACTAAGTTGGTTAATTTAATGCCGAATTTAACTTGCATCTCATGAATGAGCGTATATTATCCTTGTTGTTTTGATGCTTAGTTCAATTACATATATTTAAGAGAATTTTGGAACGAGAGATGTGCTTCAGACATGCGTTAGTTTGGATTATCAACAGAGAGTTATTACTTTTTCAATTATTTTGGGCCTTGTCTTTGGATGGAGATTAAATATCAATGTTGTGCTCGATCTCTTGTAATGGGGTTCATTGTTATTTGAAATTATTGATTGTCCGGATTCCTATGTGAACATGTTAATTTAGTTTAAGTTTTCTATTCAATTAATCCATCAACTTCTGTAATATCTGCCAGCGTCAATTTAATTCACGTGCTAGAACCAAAGTTTAAAGGCTGAAAAGAGAACGTTTATATCGTTCTTAACGGCATGAATCTAGACGTTGCATTCAGGAGTGAACAACCCCACTACTCTTACGGATAATAGTTTCGCTAACAAAAATAGGACTCGGATAAGTGGGATCATTCAAACCTCATAAGTCTTATGATCATGAAACGTGAAATTTCAGCAGCATTCATGGACGTGGTGTTCGATAATGTAACTACTGCCAATGAGTTTCTTGATGAAATTTAAAAAAAAAAAATACTTTGCAAAAGAT